AACGTGCAAACTCAAAAAATGGACTAAACCGATGTCAATAGGTTAGTTTTAGTTCGAGTCAATATGTCAAGGTAGAATATATATTCCAAAACAAAAAATTTTAAGAGTGAATTTGTCAGTGATACGAGAAATTTTCTAAGGACTAGTATCAAATCTAAAGTTTTAAGAATTATAAGATTAAGAAGGGATACCTAGTATTAAAAAAATGGATAAGTTAGAATATATATATATATATATATAGATATATGACTAAATGTATAGTAAAGGAGACTTGAGACATTTTAAAGTAGTCATGAGAATAAATGTAGAAATATATATTCAAAATAATTTTCCACAATAGTATACATTTAACAAAATATCATAATTCTATAATTTCACTTGCAAAATCTTCATTAGTTAGGTTACAAACCCCTAAAATTTAAGCCTTAAGTTTATAAGATATTTGGATTTAAAAGAAATATTATGTTTGTATTTATTAAAAAGTAGGATCTAACTATTTAAATAGGGATAATCTCACTTCGACCCACGAAAAATGAATAAGGTGGCAAAGACAACTATAGGAGAGCCCTCTCCGTCCTCATCCGATAACATTTATAATCAATTGTTTTGTTTGACAATTGTTCATCTTGCTCATAAGAACGACCAATATGTAAACCTTAATTTGATGTCTCTCTCATGTTCATATATAGCAGCCACTCCACAGGTATACGTACAAGTTTTTCCCTTTCTGAAAAGGATAAAGAAGGGGTGACAAGTGAATTGGGGGATGAGAAATTGCCAAGACAACCAAAGCTCTAAAAATAATGTTAATTAAAAGATGGAAAAGAGAAAAAGAGAGGGAAAAAAAAAAGAAAAGAAAAGAAAAAGTGGGTTTTAGCTTTTTCTAGAAGTGAAAAGAAGAGGAGATAAGGAACGTTGAACATGGCACAAAAAGACGAATCTGAGTTCCACTCCCCACTTCCCCAACTGTGCCCAAAAACGACATCTATCGCTCCCTTTCCCCCCTTTTCTTTTTCTCTTCACTCCACTCTTCTAACTTCCAACTTCCCTCTCACATCTCCCATCCAACCAAATGTTAGCTAAGGGATCAAATTACCATATTAGCGTGGATAGAACCGTCTAGATCGAGTTGTTCGAGTCGGACCACCCGAATAGACTAGACTCGATTCGATCACGCCAAACTGTCAAATTTACCTGTTGGAAAGTCTATTTTATATCTGAAAGTTGATTTGCCATCATAGAACTAGCTAGCGAGGGGCGCATAACTAAATTCCCCTTATTCGCTCGAAATCTTGAAGATAATCATAAATTTGAATTCTTTACGGTAGCATTTATCAATGGACATTACAAATACCCTTAAATGAAAAGGGAAAGCTCACAAGGACTCCAAGATGTTAATTTTTATTTTTTTTTTCTTTTCAGGATCTCTCCTCCCAGTGTTCTTGGAGACTTATTGTTTTTAATGAGACTAAAAACAGAGGTAAATCAAATTGGATTTGAACATTGGACTTCTTGATACTATAGAAATGAATAAACTACCACTCAATTCTGAAACTTGAGTGGATAGGTTTGATAAATTTAATCATCAAACTAAATATATTTCATACAAATTTAAAAATCAAATATGTAGCCTATATAACTTCAAATTTTGCAACTATTTATGTAAATTTTCTAACCGCAAGATCTCCGGTAACATGATAGTAAAAACAAAACTGGGTCAAAGTTCAACTATATATAGATGGTCCAATGATGGGTCAGTTCGGAGCAGGGGATGGGGTGCATCACGTGACTGTTAGCCTTTTTTTTTTGAGAATTATGTGACACTGGTTTGTTTCAATCCTATTATATTCCTTGCATATTCCAAAATTATCTTCAAAATAAGTATCATCTTCTTTGCCCCACTTGTGACAATAACCCTTTATAGCCTTTTCTCTCCTTTAAAAAACACGCGATTAGAGTCGTTGGTTGGATAACTATCTTGTTTGTCACATAAAAAGTGTTACTAATCAACGATCACAATAGGATAAATCATTACTTATTCATATATTTTCGTCGTTATAAATTCCAATCACGGTAATTATCTACGTCGAACCTACAATCTTTTAATAGAGGCAGAGATATTTTAACTACGGAAAAACTACGTCTGGAATTGATTATTCAAAGTACATATAAGTTAGCTATTGAGTACCGCAGAGGTAATTATTAAAAGGAAAAAAGGAAAAAGGGGTGAAAAGAGGATAAAGCAAGGACAAAATTGGTACATTAATGGTAATAATGCAATCCACTTCATTTTGTTTTGTAGTTCAAGCTTCCTTTTATTTTTTGTGATAAGTGTTAAAAGCAAGTTGTTGGTTGTCGCTTCAATGGAACACCTTTCTTTATCAAAATGGGTAAAGTTTTGTACCAAATTATGCATTTTAAAATTGGTTTGGTCGGTGGATATTTTAATTTTTAAACACTAATTTTATTATTTTATTATATCTTATTAATTATGTGGAGTCAATGAACCACAAGGACCTGTTAATTTGGCTCCACAAAACCCTATCTCAAGCCCTACCATTCACACTTTAATTTGCCAACAATACATCTCAATGTCACATGGGTATCAAAATATGGGATGAAGCCTACCTTAGGAAAACATTAAATTATATGAACATAACCCATTGTACAAATTTTAATAAGATGATTAAATTTATCGTAATCCATCAGTTTAAATTTTTAGATCAAATAATGATATATTTAATATCACATCAAAGTAGGAGGTCGTGTATTGGAAAATTTCAGCTCCTAATAATGTCAATTTCTATTCTATCCAATTAATATTGACAACCACTTAATATCTATTTTCCTATCGTGTAGGCTAAGATTTTAAAGTGGTAAATACTGTATTTTGGTAATATAAAAGGTAAAGTATATTGAGAAGTGATAAATTTAGTACAATAATTTTTTGAGGCAAAGAAAATACATAAAACAAAATTAAAACATATGGAAGTAAAAAACAGGTGAGGAGGGCAAATTCCTAGATCCTCTCTTCCCCACACGATTTTATAAAGAGAACTTTGATTCCATGTTATAAAATTAATATATATTTTTAAAAATGTCATAGCTTTACATTTCTTTTAAATATAGCATAATTTTAATTTGCTCAGTATATTTTGATTGAATTATACTATTTTTGTAATACTATATTTGAAAATACAAATTTATTTTATGTTGTTTATGTAATTACATTTATTTAAAATAAAGTATTAAAATTAAATTGTTTTACGAATTAAATTGATTTTCATAAGTCAAAGTCTTAATCTTTTTCTTTCTGAAAATTGTAATCACAATCCAAAGGAGTGAAATTCAAACCCGACTTTTAAGAGTATTGTAAGGTCAGAATAGAATTGGTTATGAATTGACATGTAATAAACTAAGAAATTGGGAGAAATAATTATATTAATTAATGGAAACACAAAATATTTACTAATTTTAATAATATTTTCATCCAAAAATTTATTTAATATCATTTCAAGTATTACAGTGGAAGTAACGCGTTAGAGTGGCACGCACGTTGACATTTTGACATTATTTTTCTTTTCCTCCCTTTTTTATTAAGCAACATATATAATATTCATTTTTTTAATGTTGATTACAATTAAATTTTTTGACATGCAAAATAAATATAGAAAGATATATATTTTATTTAAAAAAAATAAAAAAATTGTCAACTTCTTTTCAGTGATCAACAAAATAGGTGGAGATTTCTCTTTGTACATTAGTTTTTTTAATAATTTATTTATTTTCACACAGGTTAGATACTAAATAAAAGTTATTGCAATTGATTCAAGGTATATGTCAACTATCGTTGAGCTATGCTCGCTTTGGCTATGTACCTTATTTTAATAAATCTATATATTATATTTGAATACGACATATGTATCTATATTTATATGTGTGAGTGAAATTATCCATTTTTTTTTACAATGGTACTAAAAGATGCCTGTTATTTTGTTAGGTAACCATAAGAATATAAAATCAAACTTTAATTGTTCCGAAAGAAAATATATATATCAAACTTGAAGATACTTAAATTGGTGAAAATATGCAGCCTCAACTCTTAAATTTGTAATTATATATATTTTAAAAAAAATAAAAGAACAAGGGTAGTTTTGACAGAGAACAAAATTGAAGAATCTTAACAAGGGTAATTTTGTCATTTGAGATTAAAATATTGAACAATCTTAGCATGAGTTGTACCTTGCACGATCAAATGCATGTGAATCCACTAACGAGAAATTGGTGGTGGCGACAGCACCAATTCCATAATATTTCACTTAAAGTTTAATTTAATTTAATTCCATTTTTCAAAAATAATAAATTATTAACATCAATCGATTCAATTGATATTAAGTACATAATTGAATCGATTATCTTCAAAGTTCAAACTAATTATTAAGTTCTAGTTCGAATCTCCTGTAATTTTGTATAATGTTATAATTTGTGTTTTTATCCGTTATATTTAATATTGATTTTTTTATAAATAATATCTCATAATTATTTACGGCAGTTTCATTGCTATATAAAACAAAGAGTAAGATTCGGTCGCCTACCAGATTAAATGACATTAAATATTTTGCGATTTTCATAAATATTGCAGAGAGAAGAAGAAAAATAGCCTTTTAAACTGGTCTAAAAAAGGGTAAAAATTATATTATATGCCATTACTATATTTAAATAACTGTCGTACGAAGATGCTAAAGTTAAACCCAAAAAAGGAAAAGGAAAAAAATTTTAAAAGGTGCCAGAACCACGTAGCCAGTAGGGCAGTGGCAGAAATTTTATTTTATTTTATTTGAATAATTAATTAATATAATTGCGAATTGCCGGAGTGGTCCTTGCAAAATGCAAGTTGCAGAAATTAAATAAATAAATAATAAATTTGTCGGTGAATGACTGTAAGTTGTTATTTATTTAGTAATAATAAAGAAAATAAAATAAAAAATTTGACAGGCTGCGGAGACAGAGCTAAAGACTTGGGGGACTGTGCCGCTGCAGAGAGCAGGCTGTACGAAACCTGAAAAAGCAGGGAGAGCCTCGCCACTGCTCCGCCCTAAGAACTTCCATAATCGGAATTCCGTGGAAGCTCAGGCTCAGGCTCAGGCTCTGTACTGTTAGTAGTAGCGGTGGAGAAGGCGCAGCGGAAGACGAATCAACATGAACGACGACGAAGCATGCGGAGTTATGGAGGCGCAGTACATACGGAGGCATCACCGTCACCAGCCCAGCGAGAATCAGTGTACCGCCGCCGTCTTCAAGAACGTTAGAGCTCCGGTTCCCCTTGTGAGTTGCTTCTTCACCGACAGATCCGACCATTTTTTCTTCCTTTTGTTTTGATCTGTCAACGCCTGCGATGGATTTTCAGATGTTTGACTCGCCCTTACGCAGGGGATCGGGGCTGTTTAGTGATGGATTTTCATTTGATTTCTTGTTATTATTCCTATACTTGCCTGTTTTAGCGTCTTTCTTTTCCTGTTTGGAGCAAGGCGGCTGTTCCTTTCCTCTTTCTTTTTGCCTTTCCGTCTGGAATTGGTGCGGATTTGTGGAATTCTGTTTTTAATCGTAATTTACTTAGTTTTACTAGATGTCAGTTATTATGGTTTAATGGGATACGGGTTTTAACTGTTCTTTTTGTGAAAGATTCCTGTACCAGATAAGCCCAATTTTGTTCGCGTACATTGTTTTTGTACGTGATTGGATATCCTAATTGAGGTGAGGCTTGAGAGTCAAATTTTACTTACTCTTTTTTCCAAGGTCTCGGAAGAGATGAGCTTCTTCAATTAATCTTCTACGTTTCTAGTGAAATGATACAATCAACGCAAACAACATCCTCCTTAAGTTCTTGAAGTTTATCTTGCAATTGTCGAATTATAGGAATTGTTAAATTAATCTGCGTGTTGGATTGGATTGATTTTAACCCTTTTTGTTGATTCTCTAATGATTCAATTGGTTGCATTATCAGGTTTGGTCACTGGTGAGGAGATTCGATCAACCTCAGAAGTATAAGCCTTTTGTAAGTCGTTGTGTGGTCAAAGGAGACCTGGGGATTGGAAGTGTCAGGGAAGTGAATGTAAAATCTGGTCTTCCTGCGACCACCAGTACTGAGAGACTGGAACTTCTTGATGATGAAGAACACATTCTGGGAATCAGGATCGTGGGTGGAGATCACAGGCTCAAAGTATGATCACTCTCTAACTCAGTTTTGTTTAATGGGCTCTTGATAATTAAAGTACCTGATCTGTTCATAAGGTCTCTATAAATTGAAAGCATTTTCTGATAAAATTATGCAGAACTACTCTTCCATCATGACTGTCCATCCAAAGGTCATTGATGGAAGACCTGGGACGCTTGTGGTTGAGTCTTTTGTGGTAGATGTGCCCAACGGGAACACAAAAGATGAGACATGTTATTTTGTGAAGGCATTAATTAGATGCAATCTTAAATCTTTGGCCGATGTATCAGAGAGGATGGCTGTGCAGGGACAAACCGAACCGCTCGAGAAATAGTCGATATGGAGGAAGCAACTGAACATTGATGTGAATAGTTTCATGGTAGACCCAGAAGCCATTTTAGCTCCACTTGTGCTGTGCCGTGTAAAGATTTGTTCAGAGCTATCCTATCACGTTCTCTGAAGTTTTGGGTGTAAGTCTGGTGGTTAATTTTCCTTCACATGGAGATGCATTTGGTTTTTGTTACATGCTTTTTCTCGTTACTCGTTTCTTTTCTTTCTGAAGGGCAAACGAGGGCGAGTCTCCTCCGCTCCTTTAAGCTAAGCTAAGCTATCCATGGATGAAATTTGGGAATTCTTATTTTATGTCAATTATTAACTTCAGTTTGTGCAGCATGGTAGCAGACAATTTAGGGCCTATGCATTTTAGCTTAAGGCAGTACTGCTATGTATGTTTTGTACATACTTAGTCTTTGAAATAAGTTAGTATATCGCTTGGTTTAGATGGTATACACGTCTGTCCTGACTCTTGACTGAAACTTTCCTGAAAATTTGTTCTCTACACATCTTATGACAGGAGAATGTTGAATCTCATCAAGTTCTTTACTTCTTCTCTTTTCATTTTGATTACTATATTATTTCTTGAAACACTATAAAGTGTGGAATGATGAGGAGTTGTTTGTCTTCATTGGGATTTATTTCAATCTTCATGTACAACTAGGCTAGCCTGTTGTTTTGAAAGAAACTGCGAGGGTCACACCCTCGTGGCGAATAGTATTGACTCTCAATTGTTTTTATTAGATATTTTTTTTAGTACAATAAATAGGGTGGGAAGATTCGAACTCATCACTCTTTGGTCAGATACTAGTGTCACTTAGCAAGTTCATATTCACGATTGACATTTTTAGTGAATGTCAGGGGAAAAGTTTTTTTTAGTATGGGAAAAGTTGAATCTTGAAAGTATTGACCCAAAAGGTGAAATTTACTAAGATCTTTAACCAATGTAAAACAATAAAGACCTTTCCCCGTTGGATTATTACTGTTTTTCATATTAGGTAGTTTGTTTTGTTAAATGCCGATATTTTTCAAATTTTGGTTAATGATGGGAATTTTTGTCTTTTTATCTTAATATCAATTTTTTTTTTTGCAAAGGATTTATTTATATATATATATATATATATATATATATATATATGTATATTATGCAATGGGGGAAAAAACTAACATGCATAATTGGAATATGTTCGTTTCTGGCACGATGGTGGTTAATTATTTCATTAATAGTAAAATTTGAAAACTGAAATTATTTAATTTATTACTTCACTTAATTAACCAACTGCTTCATTTTTTGTTAACATTTATTAATTTTACTTAATTAATATTTATTAACTAATTATCTATTTATTTAATCTAGTTTGTCTAATTAAGATATAATTTATTTGTCTAAAGTTAGCTCAAATCTCAAAATAATAATAATTATAATAAATCAAGTTCCAACAATATATTTATCTCAAAAAAAAAAGTTCCAACAATATATTCCGTATGAAGCCAACTTGTGGTTAAAAAATACGGTCTTTTTAGTATTATTTCTGCCAGTCATTTTCTTAACCTTAAAAATTACAATTTTATTAAATAAAAATATGGATTTGAATAAGTTGTAAAAAAATAGTAGGAAAAAAAAATCAAACACAACATCAAATACTAAAGTAAATACTTTGACAAAATTTTTATTTTAAAGAAATACGTGACACAACAAAAAGATTATTATCTAAAAACTATATTCGTCAAGTTATAAAATATTGGATACACCATTCAACTGATATCATATCAAAAAAGAAAAAAAAAAATTAACGAGAGACATTAATTCTATAATTTATCCTAGTTTTTTAATGGAATAATTTCTCATAGCATATAAAAAATTAAAATGGAATCAATATGCATAGGAGTATTTTTTTAGTATAATAAGTTTTATAAAATATGTAAAATAGAAGAAAAATTATTTTCTTTTGAAGAAATTAGTTTTTGATCAGGTTCAGTTCTGCCGTCGGGACCTTGGATCCGTCAACAAAAGTGCCAACAAGCTCGTCGTGGACACCGACGCGCCGCCATGGCCAAGAAGCGGGATCGCCAAGCCGCCTCGAATCGCCGTAAGAACCAAGTTGTCTCGTCCGATCAGCACGACATAGTCGGCGATTCTTCCTCTGACCGGAGGCTCATCACAATTTTCGTCGTCTTCTTTGTCATATCTCCCGCCATTTCCGTTCTCGTGTATTTCAAATACGCTTCGAATGGGGAAATTTCTGGCGCACCTGCGTACGATCCGGGCCTCTTTAAGACTGATATCAACTATCAGGAAATTCTAGCGGTATGGATTATTGAAGTTGCTACCCTGTCTTTTTAATTCCCAGCTACTTTGAAAAATTGGAAGTACTGTAAATGCTCTGGTCACTAGGCTTTTTCTGATTTCGTTAATTTCTAGTGATCGGCTTATACCTCACTCTCTCTTCGATCGAATTATCAATCTAACAGAGGATAGCGATGTTCATTAAATTTGCTTCAGCATGTAGCTTATTCAGTTGCTAAGGGTCTTCATTTTGATGCAGGAGCACTCGAATGTCGCAGAAAATGCCTCTCGCCGTCGTTATGATTATCCTGTACTTGCTTATATTACTCCGTGGTATCCGCTTGGAAATTCCCTCTTGCCACTTTTAGTCTCTTTGTAATTTTGGGTAAGGGTAGTGTATTAGACTGGCTTTCAGTTTGTTGCCAGTTTCGGCGTTACTAATTTATTGTTGAATTAGATGTCGGTATGTATATCTTTTATATTCTACAAATTATTTCCAAAAAGTTCTGACTTAGAATTTGCTAATCACATTTAACGTTTCAATTATAGGAAAATGAGATTGGAGTTGCATGAAGCTCTCTGCATTAGAACTACTGAATTGAATGATTTACTATTTGTTGGCTTTAAATTCTTAAAAAAAAAAAAAAAAAAAAAAAAACCAAACCTTGGGCATTTCTGATCGTCTTGGAAGTATGCACTCTGCACATATCTCAACTATTTCCACATGTTCTTTTATATGTGCGGATTTAAGGAGTCTCTTTAGCTTTAAAGTCACGAGGTTGACATGTTAAATTGTGCAGGAACTCCAGGGGCTATGATATGGCAAAAAAGTTCAACTCCAAATTTACACACTTATCACCTGTGTGGTATGATTTGAAGAGGTATGCAAATCCTGCCGATATTAGTACTATTTTATAATTTTTATTGTGGGGTTTTCTGAATGAACCTTTCATGAATAAAGACAAGGATGATGGAATACAAAAAGAAATTTCCTGAAGACCGGGGAAGTTATGGAACATCTATCATTTGGCGAAATGAGAGAGGTAGTTTAATAACTAGAGGCTAGGCACCAACTAGAACAAAAAGCAATCGAATCCGAAGACTTTTCTGGCACTCTTATCTTGAAAAGGCTTTCTTTTCTTTTAAGCCACACCTCCCATAAAATAGCAATAATAGAGATCATCTTTTACCTACATTTTTCACTTAGTGGTTTTCAGCTGAGTGTAATTATGACAAAAACACGTGATAGTGACATTCTTTGCTAATTTTAATTGTGTGGTTTACTTTCTATATTCTTACATTTTTATTTTTCTTCCCTTGTTTACTTTCTATATTCTTACATTTTTATTTTTCTTCCCTTTACATGCTACTAATAGCTATGTGTTCTTATGCAGTCATGGTTCCAGCTTAGTATTGGAGGGAAGACATAATGCTGACCAAGGATGGATATCAGAGCTAAGACTGACTGGAGATGCACTGGTACAATGAAGGATATTTATATATTTTTTATCGTTCATGTGGCGTTGGTGGCAAGCAGATGGTATTATAACAATATAATAGAAAAGATTCATTAGAAGGAGCTTTAACGAATACTGGATTTATTCTGTTATATATTTATGATGAATTGTTGGAATTCCTTATGATCAGAGAACACACAGGAGAATTGTCTTTGGAAGGTTGTAAATTTCTAATAAATTGCAGGTTGTTCGGGGAGTCTTCATTAAAGGCTCACCTTTGAATGCACCTCTTATTCTTGACTATAAATCATTTTATTTGAGCTTGGACTGCTGATGGGCCATTTAATTCATTTGGTAATTCTGAAGTAGGTATTACCTAGAGTGGTTATTGAAGCATTTCCTACAGATCTGCTTAGAAAGAAGAAGCTGAAGGACAAAGCTATTGATCTGATTGTAACAGAATGCAAGTAAGAATACACTGGATGGTCTGTGTGTTTCTGTATGTGATTTTGGATTTCTTATATGTTAAAGAGGCATATCCATGGTTAGACTCTTAGATGTTCTGATAAAGTTCAGATGTCAAATTAGTAAATAGGATTTTCTGCTGTGAATTATTCCAAGCAATGACAGCCATTTTGAGGCATGGCAAGGAGCTATGGTGTCTGTGCATCACTGTTATAGAACCTGGAGGATACCCATGAAATGTTCAAACTGTAAAGCTACTTCTGCCCTGTAAAATGTTTATACCAGGAAAAGATGTACAAAATTGAAGGACATTTAATTGAGACTTTTGGAGTTTGTAGTTTCGGAATTGATTACCTAGAAAGGTATACTATTAGATTGGATTATGATTTAGATAGAAATACCAAGTAACAAATTACTGTTTAAGAGCAGCCGTTGGCAAATGTTGGAAGATGCTATTTGGTCATTAACAAACTAGGTAACCTACTTGGAGGGAGGTCTCTCTTAAATTATGTTAATTGTGTTGATGTTATGCTGCCAACACGTGGTACATACAATTTTTTTTTACTCGCATGCCTGAACCTGAAGGATATTACTATCTCAATTGTGTAGCTCAAGGTTGTTTTACAAATTTATATTGCACCCCCAGTTGATGGGCAATATTAATTTGGGGGTAAAATTTTGTATCTTTTCTAATCACGGAGTCAATTTTGTTTAACTTGCGTGTTGCAGTTCCATGGTGGATAACTCTAACAATCTCTATTTCCTTTTGTCCAGGGAAATGGGTTATGATGGTATTGTGCTAGAATCCTGGTCAAGGTGGGCGGCTCATGGTATATTGCATGACCCAGACCTGAGGACTTTGGTAATTAGTTTTCTTCCTCCTGATTTTTAGATGTTGGACACTACTTGCAGCATGAAAAACGAAAGATGTACTTTGAGCCATATAAAAATGACCTATATTGTTTCCCATTTGTCAAGAGGTTATCCTTGGTTCTGTTTGGTTCAGTGAATGCTTATTTCTTTTGGGCTAAACGAAAGAAGGGGAAAGAAGCCCTAACAGCTAAGGCTAAAGATTACAAAAAAGTGCTCCAATTGGCGGATATATTTATAAGATTATAATTGTTAAAGCCTTTATAAAGAGAATACACCAAGAAGAAGCATAGAAGTGAACTAGATCCCAAAAGCCCTCGAGAGATGAATCTTCTTGTTGAATATAGGTTGATTCCTCTCTAGCCAGATTCTCCACAGTAACTTTATCTTTTGGTTTTATGATTTGTCCTTCCCCTCAAAATGAAGTTATTTAGTTTTGGAAATATGCGGTTGAGGATTTTTCCTTCATATTTTTCCTTAGATGAACTTTGTAATACGATTTTTCTTGTTGTCATCAAGTTGTTGAGATTTTCCAAGCGCAGATTCAATCTCTAATTCCTTGGTACTTCGGATCTTCGAGGGAGTAGTATGGTGGATTTTTTTATTTTTTTTTCCTTTTCCTTTTTATGCATGCAAAGTTTGGAGGAGAGGGAATAAAAATCAAAAGAACATTGGAACTAGTTTGTTTGTACGATCTGATTACCTACGCTTTCATGTGATGCGAGATCTCTTATTACATATGTGGTTATAATGGCCATCATAGGTCTCGTAAACTTTACTTTTTATTTTCAATGATGTCTACCTCTAGACAAGGCCATCAAAATTCATGTGTATATGCATCTTTCAGACATCGGGTACCTGAGGGATCTGTTTTGATTCCCCATTACAGGCACTGCAATTTATAAATCAACTTGGAAATGCCCTGCATTCAGAGCTTGAGAGCAGGAGATCTAAGCAACGGTTGCAACTGGTGTATGTCATTGGTCCACCACATTCAGAGAACCTACAAAAGCACGATTTTGGGCCACAAGATTTTCATAGCTTGAATGGCGCTGTTGATGGTTTCTCACTTATGACCTATGATTTCTCCAGTCCTCAGAACCCAGGCCCCAATGCTCCATTGAATTGGATTCGTTCAACATTACGGTTAGTACTTGGTACCAAGGACAATAGGCTTGTTCAACACAATGCTGGCAAGATATTTCTTGGAATCAACTTCTACGGCTATGATTTCAGCCTTTCAGGAGGTAGAAACCATTCTATCTTTTATACTTCTTTTAATGGCTAATAGCTAATTGGGGATTCATGTTGGACTAGCTACACTTTTAAGTTCATGGATGCTCACTTTTTTCTTGTAAAAGATTTCCATTAGCATTATTAGCTCAAGGGTGCCCATTTTTTAACAACTGCATTAATAGGAGGTGGAGCTATTACTGGAAGAGATTATGTATCTTTGTTGGAAAAGTACAAGCCTATGGTGCAGTGGGAGAAGAACAGCGCCGAACATTACTTCTTGTATGAGGATGACAATCATAAGAGGCATGCAGTTTTTTATCCATCACTGAAGTCGATTTTCACACGTCTTGAGGAGGCTCGATCCTTGGGCACCGGTATCTCGATATGGGAAATCGGGCAAGGTTTGGATTACTTTTTTGATCTTCTGTAAAAGGTCTCAAATCTGGAGAGTTTCAACTTTCTTTTGCCTGCTTTTGAGCCACCACTGTAGAGTTTTGTTGTTCAATTAATTTATGGCTGATGAAAAACTAGATAATGAACTCCTGATATTGCAGTCATTTGACCCTCTGATCTGATGTAGAATATGCACTCCATCTCTATAACAAAATGAGAGGTGGAAATCAGTTACTTTGCTTTTGGTGTTGCCCCTGCCAGAAATGGGGAAAAAGAGGGACCAAAAGTCCACCAAAAAGATTTTGGTAATTAACCGTCTTTTTATTCGGTAACGTTTCTATTTTTTATTTCTTATCTGTTTTTTAATAAATAAATTAAAATGGAACTGTATTTGTTAATTGTTTTATGTTACATTTTTTTTTCTTTTTTCATTGAAAACAAAAACAGAAATATGTTTTTAACCATTTCTTTTTTTAATTTGAGAAAAAAAAAGTAGAAGTTTCATGTGAAATCTAATTTTTCAAATTTTTATGTTATATTTATTTTTAAATTTTTATTATGCATTTTTTTAAAAAATGATAAAAAAATGTTTTTATCTCTGGAAAAAAATTGAAAATATGAACTAAATATAAGAAATTTGATTTCGATGTTTCTAAATTTTCTACACAATTTTTAAAACATTTTTTAAAAGTGATCAAATGCTTACATTTGTCAAAACTGAAAATTAATAAAAGGAAAAAAAAAACATTATCCAACAGGTTTTAAATAGTTCTTGTATGTTTTTATACGTTTTTTTCCTTTTCCATTAGGAATAGGAATTCAATTCTTTTTTTTTTTAAGCGAGAATTCAATTCTATTTACTTTCATATAGTATTATTGAGCTCAAATATGCAATTTAGGTTAAAGTAAAAATTAAACGTTTAATATCATTTGGTGATGGTTCTTCGAGAAGAAAAAGGAAAAAACCTTAAATCAAACTCCTTCTGGAAATTTCGTGACTTCTGTTGAAGGTCATGCGTTCAATGTCACTGCCATAAAGTGTAAGCCACATGTCCATTAGAAAGTTGATTTAATCTTTTGAAATTGAAGGTTGGATCTCCACTCCACCATTGTTGGAAAAAAAAAAGATTGACCGTGTTTGTTAAAATTAAGCAATTTTAAAATTTTCGATAATTAAAAATAATTTAATAAATTTTAGAAACAACGAGTACTTTGAGGTTAAATATTTAATTATATTTCCAAGGGTTAACAAAATAAGTGCTTCACCTCAAAAATACATTTTTTGAATGTATCTCAAGCTTATCTTAAACGTGTTTCTAACACTCTTCTTAGATTTCTAGGCAAAATTTAAAGACTTGAAGTTCAAAAAAGTAACTTTAAAGATCCCTATTTTGCCATCGAAATTTAACTGTTTCAAAAAGTAGAGGAAGAAAAATATTGGCAAGAACAATTTCATTCTTTAAACATACTCGACGACTTATAATTCCATTTTATGTTAGAACTAATTATTGTATTGGAGAATTCAATATTGTACTAGCTAAGAACTGTACGTGCATTAATTCTTCCCATTCCACCATGTAATTTCATGGTGTACTGCACTGTACTGCTGAAAGTGCTGCAGAGAGTGAAGTTTCCAATGGGATCAAACCAAAATCACATCTTTCTAGTTTCTACTCTAATTTTCAGCCACACAATCGCACCTCTCCAAAGAACCAAACTTGCAGAAACCCACAAATTCGTCCTGCAACTTGTCATCTTCCCATTGGCTAAAGATCATCTACCATTCCAGATCAGCACTCTGTTGGAATTTGTAAGAGAAGGAAAAAAAGAGCCCAATTACAAGACAACTTCTCAAGCTAAGCCTTTGTCATCCCTCTGCACGCCTTGCCCTCCATTCAATCAATCATATCCCCACCAAAATAAACCAATTTGGCATAAACCCTCCACTTGTTATGGTTCTTGAAGCCTTCCCATCAGTTTTTTGAGCAATAGACGCCTGTTTTGCTGCACAGAATTATGCCATGGAGGCCCTCAATGCAGCAAGCTTAAGCCCTTTGGCTGTTCTTTCCGACAGAAAAAGAGAACCCAGAAAAATCTCTCCACCCCCATCTCATCCCTCACTCAAAATTTCAAATTCTGCTAGTTTTAGCACAAATTTACCAGTCTCACAAGGATGTTCTTTATCGAGAGGCTTACAAGGAAGTCTAGTGCTGTTATCTTCAGTAGTTAATGCTGGGATTGCGGGGGCTATTACGTACGATGAAGCACTCCAACAATCTGTGAGCACCTCTTCATCTGGAGACTTAGATTTAAATGGGGTTGTCGATGGGATTGTAAATTTTGGGACACAGAATCCTGGAATCGTGGTGGGTGGTGCTGCCATTTTGGCACTCCCTTTAATTTTCTCTCTTTTTCTTGGAAAGTCTAAGCCATGGGGTGTTGAATCCGCCAAAACTGCTTATGCAAAATTGGGTGAGGATGCTAATGCTCAGCTACTCGATATTAGAGCGCCGGTTGAACTCAGGAAAGTGGGTAGCCCTGATATTCAGGGTTTGGGGAAAAAACCTGTGTCCATTACTTACAAAGGTGAAGATAAGCCAGGTTTCTTGAAGAAACTTGGCTTGAAGTTCAAGGACCCTCAAAATACCACATTGTTCATCCTAGACAAGTAAGACTTTGCATAACTCTTTTACATTAGCGTTCATCATTGTTAGTTTAGTTTAGAGCTGGCTAATAACCAATTCAGCCTACTACCCTGTTTCATGGTTTGTTAAAATTAACTATATAAACTGCCAATCATGTATTTCCCGTTGATGGGTGTTAACTGGAAAGGCAATAACAGGTTTAATCGATACACTCTAGCTATACCACTAATTTGAAGATTTTTGAATTGTTCTTTTTGTTCACAAATCAAGTAGGATGCATGTACCCACCAATTTTGTTGTGAACCCAAGAAGTATATTGGTTGGATAATGAATGCTAGAATGTATTTTAATGAACTATTTTAGCAAATGTAAGCCTTATGGTAGATTTACCATTTCACTTGAGCTTCCAGCTGATATCGAGCTGTTATGATAAACTGGATTGGCTTTACATTAGGTCTATTCATTTACTTTTTATTTGTGATCTAAGCAAATTAAAACCATCTGGTAGTCCGATTGAATCGTAACTATTCTGAAAGCTAATCTTTGAAAATGATCCAAGTTTTGTTGGAAGACAGATATGATGGGAGCTCCGAACTTGTTGCAGAGTTGGTCACTGTCAATGGATTCAAAGCTGCTTTCGCTATTAAAGATGGTGCAGAAGGACCTCGTGGATGGACGGTTATCACCGTTATTCTTTTGTCTCCATTTTAGCATTCAAGGATTTGTATCAGCATATTTTAGGAGGTTTTCACTTGGATCTGTGCCTTGTGCAGAATAGTGGTCTTCCTTGGTTAGCACTGAAGTCAGCTTTGAGTCTTAGCAGTCTGACGGATGCCATTGCTGGTGCACTTGGGGTATGCATCTCTATTTGAGTTTATTTATTTACTCTGTTTTTCTATATATCGATGCTCAAATAGATGAGAAACAATAAGATTCCTTTGATCTTGCACAAAAAAAATAAGATTCCTTTGATGTCTCTCTCATGGCTTTAAACAGCACGTTTAGTTGGTGCAAAAATGTATATACAATATGGAAAGCAGCCATCATTCTGAAAGACCATGGTACATTGTCTCGATTTCGATGAAAATCATGACTGTTGTTGTAGCTAAAACTCCATATCTTGACAAGTTCTTCATCTTCTTAGCTCAAAAGTGTTCTAGAAAGCAACAAATCAGGAAACGGGTAAAATTATTCCTCAAACTCTTTGAACTAGTGGAATTTTTAACTAAACTTTTATTGAGGATTGGGGCTTAGAATAAGGCTAGCCACTATATGTAGTCAATAAGTACAATGAGAAGAGAACCATGCCTGCTTCATCTGTCACATTACCGAATACTGATGTTCATTCATGTCGCCCCGGGTTGAAATTTGATGATAAATTCGCTACTAGTAGTTTGGGATGACTTTGTGAATGTATTCCATCATGGATAAATTTAAGGAGAATTCCTTCTTCCTGTTAGTGTGAAATATAATTTTAGCGAATGATCATAATCCTTCTGGCTTCTCTCTGTTGCATGTGCCTCACTTTAACTAATGTAATTCAACCTAGTCGGCTATTTCCATTTGTATCATCATAGAACTCCTCAAGTTTACATTTTACCAATATGAACCGTCTACTGATCCAATTTCTGAATGTACAACATCATGTTGTTTCTAAGGTTCAAATGAAGTTTCCTTTTTCGTCATTAGTTTACATTTGTGTTGGACTTCCTGTAAGATTTGTGATTGGATTTCCGTGTATATAGGAGGATTCCGATGGCCTGCCTGCTGTTGCGACTGCTGCTGCTGCTGCAGCTACTGGAATAGGTTTATTGGCTTTTACAGAGGTTGGCTCATAGTCATATCCTTAGCCTATGCAACTATAACAAGAGAACTGATAACTATCAATCTTGGATTGCCTCTTTCAACAGATGGAAACGGTTCTCCAACTTCTGGGTTCAGCTGCAATTATTCAGTTTGTGAGCAGAAAACTCCTATATGCTGAGGTTAGTTGGTTGTATCCTAATGCCGTGTTCGCCATTAAGATGGCCTAGAAGTAAGATGTCCATCCTTTTGAAAGAACAAGAACTAGCCATATTACAGTTGAAAGCAATTTTCCTATTATGTGCCCCCCTAAAGTTGTCAAGTTTGTTGCCGTTTCCCTGTATTTTAAGATAGCACATTTGATTAAGCGGAACACATAACTTGAAACAGCATCATCTTGTGGTTAATGGTATGATGCGATGGCTTTGTACCCTAGTTGTTCTTTTAATCTGATTTAGATGATAATATTTCGTGTTAGTCTCAATGTCGTGGTCTCTGTTCCATTACGTGACTCTGGAATTGGTTACTTGTTCTAAAGTATGATTGACCTCAATCCATTTGCGATAGGATCGGAAGAAAACTTTACAAGAAGTCGATGAGTTCTTAAACACCAAGGTCGCCCCGCAAGGGCTTGTCGACGACTTGAAGGTTTGACACCTTCTATTGAATTTATTATTACAAACTCAAGTTTTTGAAGTACATTCCTTGTAAGTTTACATTGAAATCTCGAGTCTGCTGCTATCATTACGATCTTATAATCTCAGGACATTGGAAAGGCTTTATTACCGTTACCTGATACTAGCAAGGCACTTCCTGCACCAGCAGAGGCAGCCGTGGAGACTGTAACATCCAGTGACACTGTACAGAAAGCAGAAGCTGCTGCAGAGTCTTCTCCTGAGATAAATTCGGTTGCCAAACCAGAAGTTAAGGCAGAATCATTGCCCGGAATCTCGAGGCCGCTTTCTCCATACCCTTATGTAATTCTCACGTCCACAAATATCTCTTTTGTCTGCTTTTTTCTTCCCAAGCTTCTAGTTGTGGATTACATTTGCATGTCCTACCTTTCCCATAGGAGAGAATTTATCATCTGCATAAAGGTTCCAAGTTTTAACTCAATTCACGTTTTCTATTACTCAAACTCGACATTTGCTAACATTTTTTCTAGCTCGGAGTAGTCACTTTTTCAAGTTATTTGTCGTCTGCCAGTGACATTCATGGTACAGAAAATGCCTCTAATTCTTCATGTTCTATTTCTGGTTGCAGTATCCAGATTTCAGGCCTCCGTCGTCTCCTACACCGTCGCAGCCGTAACTGCAGAGTTATTTAGCTGGGAATTCCAGAGTCTATATTAGTGAATTATGGTGGATGAGCCAATTTTTAGTGTTTGAAAGATGGTTAGGATGACAGACTGGGTCTGTGCTTGCTCTTAGTCTTCACCAAAAAGTATGCTGCTTTGCTTTGCTTTTCTTAATGTAGCAAGTCAATGAAATTGTATTTATTTGCTGTGTCTCTTCCAACTTTGGCTCCAAACTCAAACTTTTGTAATGAAGATTGGATTAGTTCCAAATTCCAACTTAGACTCTCTCTGATATGAATCACTTGGAGCTGGAAGATTTGGATCCTAACCAAAGTGGAAGAAGTTGTGGATCCGTCTGGTGTCGTTTTCGTTTCTTGTATTTAATAAAGAAAAATAGAATTGCATTCCAACACCTCTAAATTCAAGGATGGTAATATTTATATTTATGTTTTGTAACAAATTAGAAAGGAAATAAGAAACAAAAAAATTTGTTTCGTGGAGAATGTTACCAAAAACTGAGAAACAAGAAGCTGGTTGCAAAATGTCTAAGTTTCTTAAAAAAAAATTTCTCACCGTAGAACTAGCTCTGAAAAGCATGGTTTCTGCCTAACTTCGAGGGGATATGTTTTTTCCTACTGGGGTTTTGAAAGTTTGAATCTTTCAAAACAACTGGAACCACTCATATCTGGATGAGTTGAAGTCTTCTTCTTTGAGCTGTAAGTTCAAAGAAATCCACACCCAAAAAATTAATTACTTTTTTATTATTATTTTTTTCTTGGAGGCAGGGCAATCATGGGGAGACCACCATTGGTGAGAATTATAAGTTGGTCTCAGCTTCTGAGTTTAGTTTACTTCAAAAGCACAATAATAATGATTATTAGTGCTAAGTAGAGTGATAAAATACGAGAAATGATGGGGAGGGAAAGTGGGATTATATTTGAGATCACATCCAACGTTTAAAAATACATAAATGGCAATTAAAGTAAAAGTATGTATTTTTTTAAATATAGCAGCAAGTTTAAAAATTTACACAAATAATATATTATGGAAAAAAAATAGAAAAAGTAAAGTTTGGTCTGGTTTAGTGACATTTTATAGAAATAAAAATAACGATATTTAAAAAATACATATATATCTTAATTAACCTTAGCCTCTTTTAGCCACCCATGATGGTTTTGTTTGGACATAAAATATTAAACAGACAGGGTTGACAATATAAACCTATTAATACAAAATAAAAAGTTCAAAGAGATTTTTTGAAGTATTTGTAAGATAATCACAACTTTAAGCATGCCACTTATTTGAATGTTTTTAAAGTATCAAAGAATAAATAGACAAAGCATTAAAAGTTCAAAGACAGAAGGTTTGTAAAGTAGCCTATAATAAATAAGAGATATTTTTTCTTTTGAATTCAACACGTACCATCATCAAACGTATTAAGTTTCTAGATTTTCTTTGGTCGAGTAACTTTGACGTTTGAAACAGATATTTAAGAAAAAAAAATGAAAAAAAATAAATCTTCACCAAAGGATTTTGGATAAAATTAATCAAGAAGATTAAATATGCACAATTTTTTTTAAATGTTCAATTTTGAAATTTAATCTCTTCGGCAAGGGCATAAGATCTGTAAAAATATTAAAAAAAAAAAAAAGCTAAAAAAAATCTCAGTATCACGTGTGTGGTCAAGGATAAATTAATTGGTTAAAAATTTTGGAAAGAAATAAAAAAGGAATTAGTTTGAAGATTGAATTTCAAATATTTGACCGAATATAGTCCACAAATGGAGTTGGAATTTGAGATCAAACTTTATGAACAAAATAGGCCTAATTCTGTCTCTGTCTCTCTTTTTCTAACCCGACGACAAAACAACTCAATCTTGCCCATAATTATAGTTAATTTGATTTTTCTACTTTGAACTAATGTGGGTGGAGATCTATAATTAAAGATATGTTCGAATTATAAATTAATTTTGCTTTTAAACTTATTTCGATAGTGTGTTTCGAAACCCAAAAAAAAAGGGTATTTTAATTATAGACATTTTAACTAGAAAATGTTTAACAATTAATTGTTGATGCTTAGTTCCATACTCTCAAAAAGTATTTTTGACATGTTGCTTCCTCAATGTTTTTAACGTGATGGTCATGTGATTGCTCGTTTGAACTGATACTATATTAATATTCGTGGAGTCCATCTCAAAATCAATTGACATTGAGAGAAGTAGTTCATTATAAATTTATGATGAATCAAAATTATATATAAATCATAGACGAGAGAGAATCATAATACTTCTTAAATGATACTAACATAATATACGGTAAACTATAATCTATAGTTTGAAAAATTTTCATGCATCCTTACTTAACCCTTTAACTTCTTAAACCATATATATAGTAGTTTAAAGTCATCTCGTAAATTGTTACTAGAGCTAAAAATTTAAGTAAATAGATTAAAAGAAATCTTTTATATATATTTTTAGAGTGTGTTTGGATTAAAACTTTAAGTGATTTTGGAAGACAAAAAAAAAAAAAAAAATTCTAATGTAAAGTATTTGATAATAAATAAAAATCTGGAGTAGTCCAAATTATTATTATTATTTTTTTTTTTTGAAGAATAACTTTAAAGTAGATTATCCAAAAAGTGAGTGATTAAATTACTTTATGATATTTTGGCATTTGTAAGATCACTTTTAGATATAGTGCAACCATAAACAAGCTTGTGATTAAATCACTTTAAGAAAATGTAACCAAACACATAAATATATTTTAATTAAAAACGTTTTATAGAAATGTGTTTTATGAAAAATATACTTTTAAAAAGGTGATTAATTAAATGAGAAGTCATGGTAAACTAAACGTCCCTTAAAAGTCCCTCTCAATTTTTGGCTTACGAAAAAACTGCACTAGCTATTATACGAAACCAAAAAAATAAACGATACTACTGAAGACATTATGTTCTAACATCATGTTAAATCATCACTAAATTCAAAAAATTGTTTCAAGTAGATTATTACATGAAACATAGAAGAATTTACATCGTAGAGGTTCAAATTCAAAACATCATGTCTGACACTAAACATATTAAACTATCACTAAATCTAAAAGTTTTATATGACCAACCATACAATCATTCATACATATTCTTAACCGATTGAAAATCGAATAGTAGGGGTGCTCACGAGTTGGGTTTAGTCGGGTTAGAGGGTTATTTTGGACCACCCGAATTTTCGGATTGGTCAAATTAAGGAACCAACAGAACCGAATATTATGGTCAACTAGGTAATCGTTTTTTTTTTAATCTGGACTGAAAAAAATGAATAGGAGAACTCACTAAGAGAGAGATAAAGACATGAAATCGTGAGAGATTGAGAGTCATGTGAAGATGAAAAAGATGAGGAGATAAGATGCATGGAGGAGAAAGGCAGCATGAAGATGGGAGAATCTGCTTCCGACGGGACGACACGATGAGATCTGCTTTACGATGGGACGAGCGATGAGATTAATACTACATCGACGGCGGACTAGTAGCTGCTACCGGTGATGAACAACCTTGCTTCACGATGGCAACGAGCTGCTCTTGATGAGAGTTGAAGATGATTAGAGAAAGGAGGAGAAAACGAGATTGAGAGGGAAGATGAGAGGAGATGTGAGATTTGAGTGTTTGAAAAGATGTGAAAAGATAACCTAAAACGAAGGAGGAGATTAAAAGTAAATTGATGGTTGAGATTGAAAATAGAAAATATATTATAATTATATACTTTTATATATTTAATTTCGGGTTAGGTCGGATTGACCCGATTTTTTTAACAATGAACCTGTAGCTCGATCCGAACCGCTCAATTTGGTAAAATGTCAACTCAATCCGAACTAAAACTTTATCTAACCCAACCCAGACCGTTTGAGTTGGATTCTTCAGATTCGTTAGGTTGTCGGTTTTTTGAACACTCCTGTCGAGTAGAAATAGAGGAGTGAATTGAGAAATAATTGTTAATAGTTTGAAGTTAAAAGAAAGTTTAGGCATGTTCGAGTGAGTATGAGTGTGTTGACCATCACCGTTACTATCTATGCCTTCATGGACGTAGGCAAAGGGTTTGTACATTACTTCAGCAAATGACATCACTCCTCTCTCTGTCTCATTATTTTCAAATATTTTAAAGAAATTCAAAGTCAGCTCAACATGAATGGAAGGATACAAGGAATTTTCAAATTTCTTTCCGCGTTCTTCCACATCATCTTCCTTGCACACAAAATTTTAGAAATGATGGCTTTGAATTGGTCAGCAATTGGCTTTTTTGCCCATTTTTTTTCTATCTCTTCAATACAATTTTACTAATTAAATTACTCACTCCTCTACTCGCTTTCTCTCTCTCTCCTCCACACCCCTTTTTACACGTTCTCTCTCTCTCTCTCTCTCTCCTCTACTCATCACATCTTTAAATCTCCCCCTTCTTCAAACCCATTTCCCCAATTCTCTCAAATTCAGCAGCTTTCTCCACTTACCCATCTTGGGTTTTGGCCAAGTTTCGACCTTTGAATGACCATATTCTCTTCAGGCCTTCTCAAGCTTGTATTTCCTTCTGGGGTTGTGGCTGATTCCATCTCCTCTTCTTCTTCTTCTTTGGAACTACTACTACTCCTCTGTGATGGAAATGGAGCACAAGAGTTTAATCACCGAGTTGACTCAGGGGAAGGAGCTGGCGCTTCAACTCAGAACCCATCTCCACCCTGCTTCTTCCTCCCAAGAAGCATGCTTTTTCTTGACTGAAATGATTCAGTCCTCCTTCGAGAAAGCACTTTCGTTGCTGAATTGGACGCCGCTTCCAACAGATCAGCCCATCAATGCAGGGGAACAACACGACTGCTCTGCCACTCCCAAGAAGAGGAACAACACTACTACTAAAGATGTGTTGAAAAAGAGGTACAAAAATTTTGAACTTTTTTTCCCCAACGCCATTTGATTTCTTTGTTTGCTATATGGGTTCTTAGTTTTGGGGGATTTGCAGAAAGTTGCTGCCCAGATGGACTGAGGAAGTTAAGGTTTGCAGTGGGACTGCTCCTGAAGGCCCTCTCAATGATGGTTATAATTGGAGGAAATATGGCCAAAAAGACATCCATGGTGCTAATTTCCCAAGGTGAATATCTCACACACCCATAACTTTTAATTAATAATATCACGAAAACTTTTTAGAGTATTGAGACTAAATATTCGAGACCGAATTTAGAGTTTTAAGAGATACAATTGGTTAAATGTTATGAAATTTATGTCGAAAACTTTTTAGAGTACTGGGAATAAATGATTAGACTCATAAGTTAACCAAAATTCTTTTGTACCATCTATTTTAACACTATAAAGAAATAAGAGTTGACTTTTTTGGAATGTGAGTAGAACTCATTGAGAAAAAATAAAATAGGGCGATAGAATAGTATAATAATCAGTAAAACTCACAGTTAATTTATTAGATGAAACATTTCTTACCATCTCATTTAATTTTAACAAATTTATACATTATTTCCACATGTTTGAAGAATAGTCTAACAGCTTGGTTTGCAAGTGGAGCACATGTTGATTCACAAATAAATGGCTTCGAAAAGACATCACTAGATTTATTCCTTTTACATGTGTTTTTCTTTCATATAATACTAAAATGAAGCTTGACCTTATCAACTTGAAAAGATGCCTCTTATAAAAACAGGCATTAACATTAACCACTAGTCATTCAAATTAAGGTCCAAATTGGGCGATTAGATATTTTCATAAAGTTTCACATATTTGTCTAATATTCAAGGTTCATTTCACAATCTTAGTCAAAAAGGCAAAATTTTAATTTTAATCTAATTTATTAATATTAGTAGAGTAATTATCACTCAAATTTTTAAAGTCGTCCGATCTATTTGAATAGTAACTATCGATATATCTTGACCAATTGTACTTGCTACCATTAATTATATCGACAATACAGACCTAAGAAGAGAATTGGGGGAAATTTTGCAGATGCTATTACAGATGCACCCATCGCCATGTACGAGGATGTTTGGCGACGAAGCAAGTTCAGAGATCCGACAGTGACCCCAATATTTTCGAGGTAACCTACAGAGGACGACACACCTGTTCCCAATCCTCTCATTTCGGATCCCTTTCGGTTTCGGCTCAGAATGAGGCCGCCGGAGAAACCAATCAAAATTTGCCCAGCCCTAATTCCCAAATCTGGTTCGATTTCGAACACCACGATCTCAAGGTCAAATCCGAGGATTTGGACACCGTTTTCCCGCCGTTCTGCTTCCCCTCCTCGTCGGTCGGATCGGAAGTCGCCGACGAAAACGTGTTCTACGATCCCATGACGGATCCGGCGCCTCTCGTGGGCCACGGTGGGTTGTCTGCGGTGGCCGTGTCCCCGGCGGCGTCGGAGACTGAGCATCTCGCAGCTTGGGATTGGAGCGGCTGCGGCGGAGGAATCCCGTCGGAGCAATCGGACTTGACGGAGATTATTTCGGCCGAAACTTCGGTGAACAATTCGCCGATTTGGAATGGGGATTGGGATTTCAAGGTTGGTTTTGACCAGAATTTCCCCTTTGACAGTCTAGATTTCCTGTCCTGAAAGAAACTTTTCGGATTGGTATTATTTTCAGAATTCTTTTCCCCAATTGGATTTTTATGTGTTTCTTAATGTTAGATAGGAAAGCAAAATTTTCTCCCATGTAAAAAATAACTTAGAGAAATGTAACCATTAATCTATGTACTTTTGTTCTTTTGTTTGTTATGATTTAAGTTTTGCATTTTTAGGAATGTATTGATTTGAGTCATTGAATAAAGTTTCTCGTTAAAAATTTGAGTGAAAATAATAAGGTATAAAGTATACAAATGAATCATATATAGTAGCTCAATTATTTGCCTATTTTTAATGCTAAAATTTAGTTTATATATTCCTTATAAGCATATATCGATTAAGTATTGAACAAATTCTTGCACTTGGAACTTGATTGAAGGTAAGGATTCAAAATTAGTTTCTTTGACTCCCATTTTCAAATGATTTTGAGAGTCTTATGAACTTGTTTTTGCAGCTGAGTCAAAATTTGGTCAACAAAATCAGCATCCTCTATTGATTTAAAACCACTACATATAGTCTTCTTCAGCACTTTCAGAGAAACAAAGAGCAAAAATGAAGAAGAGTTGAAAAAAGAAAGAAGGTTGGAGAAAAATGGCATTCTCCCCATTTGTTATACATATGAGCATATGTAGTTTTGATCAATACATAATTTCTAACAGTACCATACAATTCTTTCTTTCTCTTCGAATCCCATCTCCAAGAGAAAACTAACTAGAAACTGGGCCAACTTTGGCGCTAATAGAGATAGCCTTATTCTTGCAACACTCTAAGGCATCTTCTAGTATCATTTCACCGTCGTATTTGTACACAAAACCTTTCTCGATAAGCTTCCTAGAGTTCCATTTGATGTTCCTAATTGGCACATCATCTGAATTCCTGAAATCCATTCCTTCAACCATTAATCATGAGACATAATTTTACACCAACTTTTAAATTTGATAGAATTTTGTGACCACCATCATGTTTGTGATAAGTTAGTAGAAGGGAAATGTAATAAGAAAGAGAAAAAATTAAAATACCGTTTAGTGGTCTGGTAAGTAAGAAGATTTCTACCTACGGATTTGGAAATACAGCCTTAGTCTAGGAGGAGACTTAATTAAAGACTTTAGATTTGAACAAGAAACTACATCCTCATCGACTTTAGGAAGGGCCTTAGCCTTAGCTTCAAGATCTCACTTTGCACCAACCAAAATTTAAATTCTCACTGGGAGACGATTCTTCTTAAGGAGAAATCGATGGAACAAGATAGTCGTTCATTTTTCTCTCCCGATCAGGTTTCGGTTAAGTAATCTGTCTATCCATCTGGTTAGGTTTCGACCAAAGTATGGTTGGGGTTCCGCAGTTGAGGATGAGGATTTGGGCGAAAAAATATTAACTGAATTCAAGCGGTCAACAACTAAATATAACCCTTAAGCATCAGTAGAATTCTATAAAATGTCTGATGGATCACACTAAATTTTTTAAACATGATCAATGCATCATTGTCAATTTTGCATGCATTTAGTAATAAACCAACAATCAATTAGACATAAAATGGAAAGCGAGACTGACCCATATTTTTGTTGCAATTGAGGATGATGGAGACGGTAGTAAGTGGCAATATCTGAGGAAGACAAGAAGGAACTTGCGCAGAGAAACCTTCCATGGAGAGAGGATTGTTCCATACAGAAGATGTGGGCATCACAGACGTCATGAATGTGCACCAGAGGGACCTTACCATCCAATTCCTCGAGAAATCTGAGGGCGTGGTAGAAGGGCTGAGCATCGTCTTGGTGTATAAACTGAGAGAAGGTAATAATGGTGGTTTCGGCTGCACAACAATGAAGAGTGTCTCCCACGATGAGCCCACACGCCAATGTCACCACTTCCAACCCCCCGCCACCTTCTTGGACTTGCCTCGCCCCAAATTCAAGTAGCTCTCTCTCTGTTGCACTCTTTGAATCTACGTATCCCTGCAACTCATACACATAATAATAATATCCCTCCTATCACCGTGTCGAGGATCTCACATTGAAAAGATAAGACTTACTGCTTATTAATTAATATGTTATTTCAAGTTTAGGGGTTAAATTTGTTATGAAACTTGATATGGTCGGAGACTAGAAGCTCAAACGAGCATCCGGTCCAAAAAATGGGATTCCATCAAGATCGATGAGCCAAAAGAGTCACGATCTTGAGGGATCATGTTAAGAATCTCACATGGGTAACATAAGGGTTACTCATCTCATTAATTACCAATTAGTTTTGAGATGGAACTTGATGAATAGTGATATTAACAAGAGTTATTTCTCTCAATGGTTTTGAGATAGAACCTCGTGAATATTGATATAGAACATCGTCCAAAAATGGGATCCGACCAAGATCAATGAACTAAAAAACTAGTCCACAATCTTGAAGAACATGTTAAGGATTGATTTTGAGAGTGAAATAGAATGACGTCAAATAAAAGTGTCATGTGCCAATTAAACACAACTTATGAAAAATATTTATCAACTTCTATTATGTAGGTAGGAATCCTCCTAGGGATGACTATTATTAAAATTTTGAGAACTATTTACCTTTAAATAATACTTAGTTATTGATGGGTTAATAGAATTCTACTACGGAATACCGTTGCAACTTTGACAAATAGAAACGAGAAGGAAGACTTTTTTTCTTTTCTTCAAAAAATAAAATAGCCGTCGAGTAATAGTTATTTATGATCCTTGAATTATTGTTATAATACTGACGTGCCTATACTCTAGCTTATTTTAATGTAATTTTTGAAGATTAAAAAAAAAAAATTACTATGCGCGTTCAAGAAAAAAACGACAAAATTTCCATTATAAAAATATATATCATATCAACTAAATCGACTCCAATTATATAAATGTAGAGAAAAGAACTGTGAGGAGGTGTCTATTTAGGTATGAAATTTCAAAATATAAATGATGTTAAATATATCTTTGGTCCACGGAATAGGGGTGATCATCGGCTACACCAACGATCGGTCGGCTGTGGTGGGTTAGATGAAGAGGGAGGAAAAAGAAGAAAATAGATAAAGAAATGGAAGAAGGAAAAAAATAAAGAAAAAGACAGTGGAGAAGAAAAAATGAGCCAAAGAAGATGGAGAAAAAGAAAAAATCAACTTTTAGTTAACAAAAAAAAAAAAGAGAGAGAGAAACTCAGAGAAGGAGAAGTGGAAGAGATAGAGAGAGGGAAAACTGGAGATGGAATGTCAAGGGAAGTAGTGTAAAAAGGAAATTATATTTAATATAAAAAATAATAATAAATCACATCCGGAAACCAGTCGGTGCTGGCTTCGGTTGTTAAAAAAAATTTGTGGTGGTGATGACGTTTCTTTTGAAAGCCTGTGACTAAATTTCGTCCAATTTTTTTCTTGTCTTTTCCAAAGCAAAAGCAGAAGCAACATTATTGATTATTAATTGAAATTTTGGTACCTCAAAGGTAGGGTTGGAAAAAGGATAGGAAAGATTGAGAGGAGTCCAGCAGGTCTCGTCCATGAAATCCTTGAAACCAGTGCCGTCGTCTTTCATCGGCGACGCCGACACGACGGAGGCGGTGTAAATCAGCCGCCGCACGGTTCCCGATTCCACGCAGAATTTCGCGATCATCCTCGCCGCACCAACCGACGCGTCCGTCCTGTTCTTGTACTGCAGCTTCCTCCAAATCAATTAAGCCATGGAATGGAATAAACGAAGCCAGAAAATCCCAAATAATAAATAATAACGAACCTGCGATCCTTGTGTGTGGTGCAGCGGAGTGGCGACATGGAAGACAAAGTCGCAGCCCTGAATCGGTGGCCGGAAACCCTCCGGCTGGTAAATATCGGCCTGAAACAAAACCAATCTGTGGGCGGCGTTGGGTAAGGTGTTGAGAAGGCGCACCTTGGATTGGTCGTTGAGGTTGCGGAGAGTGGCGTGAACCGTGTGGCCCTTTTGGAGAAGCTTTTTGACGAGCAAAGACGCGACGTAGCCAGATCCTCCTGTAACGCACACCCTGCTGCCGCACCCTGACCCAGAGCCCTCCATGGGTTTCGAATCCTCAGATAATTTACTCAAATAAATAACAGAGAAATCCAAACTGTTCAGAATAGAGGTGAGAGGTGTCAGTCGACCAATAGAATGGTGGCACGTGTAAAGGTTTGTTGCATGTTATTTCATTCTTTATGGTTATTTTCTCCTTATCTTCATTGTAAATTCTTTAACGTCAGGATTTGTTTTGTACTCCACCATCTTCCATCCATCGATTAAATGCAATAGCCCCACTTGAGTACAAATACCTTTTAAAATACTTTCTTCTCACTACCTCACTTTTATAAATTTATAGTTTTAACTTTTCGAAAATTTGTTAAATTTTAAGGCATTTCTTTCATCCTTAATTCTCAACCAAATACTTATGTCCATGGATCTCACCCTCGCTCCCTCTCATTCTCCCTCAAATCTCAGTCTCGATCTCGATCTCGCTCTCGCGTTCAACTCGATCTCGTGCTTGTTCTCCCTCTTAGTCATATCTCGAGAAATTAATTAGAGGAGTTCGTTTTTGGTAGGGGTGGCCTTTCCTGCGGCGTGGGTTTTGGTATAAAATTGACAGAGAGAAGTGTTCAGGTTTAGGTATGAAATCAAATATGAATAATGAAAGGAAAAAATATCAAATTTGTTTGGTCTTAAGGCACATATATACCATTGAAGAAGCAGAAAGAAAATAATTATTGAAAATGAGAGAAGAACAGAGGATAAAGAATTGAGGGGAAAAAAAATAATTATTGAAAATGAGAGAAGAGCATAGAATAAAGAATGGAGGGAAAAAGAGAAATAATTAAATGAATTTTCAACTAATAATTAAAGTAATTTTGAACTTACTGATATGAGAAGGAGATGAAGAGAAGGGAGATTTGGTTAAAAATCAAGAGAAAAAGAAATAACAATGGCAGGAGGGAGGGAGGAAGGGAGGGAGAGAGAAGAAGATGAAGAATGAGAAAGAGAAATAGAGAGAGAAAAAGTGAAAAAAGAAAAAGAAATAGAGGAAGGATAGTAAATATCATTTGGTATTCGGGTGATGTCAGCAAATATTGAAAAAAAGCAGGTAAAAACTAATACTCTCCTAAGAAAATGGCTATTCACCCAAAAACCCAAATTCTAACACGTCTCGCTCCCAGTTTTGTACCTAATAGATACATTAATTTTGATAAAATCGAAAATTGAACGACTTATTAAACGATTTTGAATTTTGTAGCAATTTATTAGTTGCAAAATTAATAGTTTACAAAATCTATTAACCACGCCAACTTTAAAATTCAATTGGTTAAAGCAGTTGTCATTCATTCCCGTTCTTGGGTGCTAAGGGACTTTTGTTTTTGGAATAGATGGTAGTGTTTTGCTGACGCCTCGAATCAAGCTTTTGTTGCGACATGCTATGTTTTTTCTCCACTGTTAATTTATTAGTAGGTTGATGGGTCGCACGTCCAGCAGGCTAACACACAAAATTTGACCTTGTGTGTCCACAACTCAAAATAGTTGACCTTACGACCGCGGTCGAACTAAACATACTAATAATCACCATGTTCATATGAGTTACTGAGAAGATCAAAAGGTTTTGAATTTGAATCTCTATCTTTATCTGTTGTATTTAAAATTTTGAGACTAAAATGGTAATTTAACATTTAATTTTAATCTAACATATGGTTATGGTTGAGACAATTCTTCTTCATTCGTGCCAAAGTGAACATAGCTTAACAGTAACTGATATATATCTCCAATTAAGAGGTGTGAGTTCGATCCTCCATCCCACATGTACTAAAAAAATTCTTCTTCGCTTATGAGATTGCATGTCTTTGTATTTATGATTTAATATTCTGAATTTATTTTTATAAGAAGATAAATTTTAATTTTAACTATCAACTAATTTTGGGCCAATGCAATGGTAGTTGAACAAAATGTAAAATTTAGGACAATTGTCCCGGTTTAAATTTTACTTTTATGAAATTAGAAACTTAGAAGGAAAATATATTAACCATTCACCTAAAAAATTTTGTAGGTAAAAATTGAATTTGTACCCTAAAGTAGTAACTTTTTTTTTTTAATAAAAGAATTTGCTTTGTTGATAGCAATTAAAAGCTTCAATCGATTGAAAATTAGAAATCAAATAGGATTAATTTTCACAGCATATCTTAGTAGATAAAGTTTCTATTGCATTTTTCAATTCGAAAATTACCTACAATTCCATATTCAGTGAACTAAAAAACATCCGAATTGATTGTGACTCGAATATCATGGATAAATTAGGGTTTGTTTTGCTTGGAAACTCGGATTCTGTTTTTTGTTTTCAGATTCATTGAATCAAATGAATTCAACGAATATAGTTTTGGCGGGATTTTGGATATTCGTTTTTTTAAAACTGTTTTTAATTTTGTGATCCAAACTGTAGAGAATTTGAAATTTTGAAGATAAAAACTTTGAGAAATATATAACTTCAGGTTATAAACTCATTTTATGTTTGTTAAAATTAAAACATGTAAAATATAATGTATTTTAAATTATATAACCTTGTAAAATAATGATTTTACAAAATTCATAAAAAAATGTTAATAAATTGATTAAAATAAAATTTAGTTTTACAACTACATATATATACATTGAACAATTTTTTAAATTGAAATTCAATTATCAAATCTTCTACCAAACACATATATGAAAACTTTGAAAACAAATAAATTTTCATTGAATCCGTTGTTTTCAAATTTATATTTTTGATTACCAACCAAACGTACCTTTATATTTTTCTGAATTTGGAGCCGCGTGGTGGGCACCATAGTGGTGGAAAAATGCACATGGACCGCATGGGTACATATAAAAATATACGAATTCCATTGAACTTTGTAACATTTAATGATATATCTTTTTTATATTTGAATCAATATAATAACAACATAGAAACAATAAATAAACCCAGTGACACACCATTCTAACTTTTGCCAAGTAAACCGGCCTAAATTATAAACATAAAATAAGAGTGTAATTGAAAAATGTTAAAACATGGAACATAATTTAAAATCGTTTAAACAATAAAAATTAAATTGAAAAAATATTCAAATATTAGCGTCTTATAATATATATTTAGCCTCCTGAAAATTATTCAATCAATTTTTTTGTTTTTTGTTTTCTTCTGGCAAAGAATTACAATACTTTTGAGCTGAATTACAATATTCTTTTAAAGTAAAATTATCCATCAATCTCCCCTGACCCTTACAATTTACCGAATCCACACAAAAAAATTTCTCCAATAAATAAATTAAATCCTCCAATAACTAAATTAAGGTGGAAAAAAAAAAGATTTGCCTGATGCAAGAATAAGATTTTTCTGGGTTTAATTAAAAAACATCAATATTTAATTTGAGCCAATATTACATTAAATGCGCAAGATTTAATTGACAACAAATAGGAATCAATAGAAGAGAAGAGGAAAAAAATAGGATTGGTGCGGATCCCAATTCGGGATACTACAAACCCGGAACGGGATTACATAAATCCCAATTTCTATTCGTAATTGATTCTAGCCCGGTCCGGGATTATGTATTTAAACTAAAAAAAAAAAAAAGAAGATTGAGAGATTCTTTCGTTTCTCTTACTCTCTTAATTTTTTAAAATTAAACTAGCGTAATTTCCGAAACTATCCCAATAGTTAAGTTTGAGAATTCTGTAAATTGTCCTAACAAATTGAATATGAAAATCAAAGATCAAATAATAATAATAAAGCATGGTTGTCAATTCAAGAATCTCAAACAAATCTTTGAACAGACCCAGTAAACTATAAAAGATAAAAGGACTCAAAATAGTTGTATAAGAGGAAAAAGAAGTATTAAAGCTTGGTTGAAAGCTACGACGATTCAAGATCAGTTAAGAAATTTTTTAAATCTAGAGGAGTATGACATTTACCTCAAAATAGATATATCATGATGAAATTAAAACTTTGATAGTTCAAAAATAGGTGGTTTACTACCGTGTTTGATATACTATATACTATTGATATAAGTGAAAATTTGTAGTATATTTGAAAGATTTTAAAAATAGATACATATTTTTGAAGGCAATCGCTGCAATTTTCCTATAACTAATATGTAAATTCTAAATCTCATTGTATATCATATAATTAATATGTATTTTTGAAAAATGTTATAATTTTCTTTTGTTTTCTATTTTTTATAAAGATTCTCAGTTGTTTTTTTTTAGGTAAAATACATTTGGGTCCCTTAAATCCCTGGAATTAGATTTCTATTTAATACCTGACAGTTTTATCAATTTTTAAATTATTTTCTAACTATCAACCTCAAAGGTATATTTTACTCTAGAATTGCCGTTGTAACTTTCTTTTTACATTAAAGAATTATAATTTTTGCGTTGAACGTCTAATAATGGTAATGGAAGACAATGAAGTCAAAGACTTTTTTATCACTTCTTGTTATTTAATAATTCTTAATATTGAAATAAATTTACATTAATACATGTCAAATTATTGTTCTGTCACATTATTTATTTATATTTGATTATTTATTGGATTCTTAACTTAATTTTTTTTTATCTAATTAGTAAAATTATTATTATGCTAAGATTCAACATTTTTTTTCTGAATCCTGGGGCTGAAGGTTTCAAAAATTAGATATCTACCTGAGTTTTATATTCGTAAAAATTAAAACCAAATTTTTTTTGTAATAAAATAATTATAGCATTAAATTGTGTCATATTTTATAAATTTCAAAATATTCAAATTATATTTTCGAATGTAATTACATTTTCGTTAGCTTATCATTAAAAAGTAACATATATCTTTTACAATCGGTAAATATACCATTGATTAAATGAAGCTTTGGATTTGTGGTTTATGTTTTTATGAAGGGTTTATAGGTATATATTGAATATATATTTATTTTTACGTGGGCAATTTTTACAGGGGATTTTTTGTTTAGCTGTATTTAGCGTATTTCGGGTTCGTTAGCATCTCCTTAGAGACAGGTATATTTTTTTACATATCGTCCATATATCACTAAGTAATACTAAATAAATATTTGAGTTTGTGTATGTTGTTTGTATGAAATGTATATAGGTATAGATTGATTTTTATAGTCCATTCATCCACACTTTAATGTTACTTAATGATTTTTTTTTTATTTGAGTACAATATGTGAGGGTCGAAATCATAATCTCTTGGTTGGAAATATATGTCTATTAGTGGTCAAAATCAGAATCAACGTGCGTCATCCCCTGCTCAGTTCGGAGTTGTCAGGAGGTAGAAAACCGGTCATCCGTACCCACCGACTTGATCCATGACGAGCTGAGATCATGAAAGTTATACACGCCGACCTGAGGAATCCTACTTGGGGCCCGACAACTGTAACTGTCGATCGTAATAGCACCAACGACTTTGTCTCCCCCGCCTGCCTATAAAATTGACACTCCATCCAAGTCTCAAGTACGCAATTCCTCCGAGAACGACTTGATACAACTTGAGCTTACACTAACTTGGGCGTTGGAGTGTTTGGTTCCTGTACATGTTTCATTGAGCGTACCTCGATGCTCGTCCTCGTTATACCGTGACCCGATCTGTGAGCTCGACGGAAAATAACATCAACAATATCAATTTCCGCTGAGCTTTACTCACTTTGACGATGCTATTAATCATTTTAATAAGATAGGAATGATATGAGATATTGCATGTACCATTGTACTCTAGCGTTTGAGTTTGTGTTTGCTGTTCTTATAAAGTCATTATATCCGCATATATTTTGGTTGCATTTTTTTTAATGAAATTGTTTGTTTGTTTATTTATTAATATTTTTTCATTAGTGAGTTGGTAATAAGAGTTTGTGCTATGGAGGCCCATTGTTCGGCCCAGTTGGGCCCTGGGTGACTAGATGAATTTATAACTTTCAAAAAAATATAAACTTAGCTTTTTACCGAAAAATATATATATATACTGAGGTACATCACAGCTGTCCAAATTTTTAAAGTGAAATACCTTTATAATGCTTCAGAATAAATCCTATCATTTGATTATTAAAAAGAAAAGAAAATAAAATAAATAGTTGATTGATAAAACAATCTTCATATATTTGAAAGTCAACTTTATTAAAATAAATATGATAATTCAAATAGTTCTAAAAGGAAAAAAAAAAGTTATAATTAGAAAAATTATTATGAGATGATATGAGAAAATAAAACTTGAAAGTCGCAATAAGCCAATGACTACGATATGATACCAACTAGAAAAAAAAAAAGAAAAATAATTTCATCATAACTTTTTGTGGGAATTTTTTTCATGATGACATTTACTATTGACCACCTACATGATCATTTGAAAGCTCTTTATTTTTCTTGAAATATAAAAAAATATCTTCTTTTTCGGTCAAAAATGTAATGATGGTCAATGCTGTCGGCAATCTTCAAAATATCGATGTTGATGAAAATGTCGAGATCTTGATTTTACTGACATGTCGATGAACATGTCAATGTCGATAGATATTTCAAGAAAAATAATATTTTTGATATTAATTAAGTTATTATTGGTATATAATAATATTTTATTTTTTAAAATTTCTATGATTATTTAAATCTTTATATATGTGAATATTTCACATATATTGTTCAATTGTGTAATTAAGGACTAAATTGGATTAGAAATTATCAATAAAGCAAATTCCGAATCTTATTAGTTATACAATATTAAAATTCGAATGTTGTATTGAACATACTAAGATTACAATCATCGAGGTTGTGAGAAATTATAGACTACAGTGACATAGTAGGGAGAAGAAGAAAGAAACCATTTAATTGAAAAATAGGGGTGTGTTTCAAATGAAAAAACTTGATTGAGGTGTTAGGTTTCACTACCAATCCTTATGAATATCAAATTCAATCATCTTATTCCTTTTTATTTATCTTTTATTTTTTTTAGTTCCAATTATATCTTATTCTTTAGCATCAAGTTCTCATCCTTTATGTCGATGCAAACTTTCTCCCTAGTGTACCAAAAACCCTCAACAAATAAAAATTAAAGAGAGAGAATATGGCTTTATAATATAACAATAGAGAATTCAAATCTTTTAATTTCAAAAGACATTACTTATGCTTTAACCAAAACAAATAGAGAATGTTTTTATGTTGAAAAATTACATACAAGAATAAAAATGAGAATGAATTGCTTTGATTTGATTTGAATCATTCTATTTTCATAAAATTTAAAATTTTTTTCATATATTTAAAAATACATACTTATTTTATACTATTTATGTAAAAATGGCTCTTTTATTATTATTATCATAGGAAGCACATGTATCTCTGGATTACAAAGGATTATGTCAAAGAAAAACTAAACCAACAAAACTCGTAACTTTTTAGGTTAAATTATGAATTTCATAGTGATTTTATTTTTATTTTTTCAAAAATGATTCTATTTGATTTCTAGAATTTTAAAAGTTTAGTCAAATTTCACGAAGAATCCATACCTCTAATACATTGATGTTTTTTGGTACGTGGCAATGAGTTGATTTCCTCCCTTTAGCTACCTATATTGGTTTACTATATTACGAGTAAAAGATGAAAAAAAACATAAGTGAATTTTACGAATAGATAAAAACAGGACAACTTTGTTTTACCGCTTAGTGGTCCACACGGATTTGGGGACTATCACCTAAATCTTATTATTTAATATTCCCTTTTATGCTACAATTCTAAGAAACACGTGGTCTTAGTAGAACTTTTTATTTAAAAATATATATATATATATATATATATATATATTTGGCAAATATGACAATGAATTTCAAACCTTACCATTTTTTTTTTGGCCAAGAGCTTTTAAACACTTGTTCAGTAGACGTCTTTAGGTATTTTCTCCTTGACGATACAGAGAAATCTTATTCTCAGCAACATTAAATGTTTGATAAGTAAAAGAGAGAAATGCAAAAACACTTTTTGTTTAATAGAATGATTTGTCAATTTTTGAATGACGGTGAAGACCAAATCTTGTCCTCACTGTTGAGAAGTCAAGAGAGAGGACGAGATTCAAATTCTCTAAATGAGATCTTGTTCCCTTCCGATTAAGGTATTAAAACACTATTTTATTAGGATTACCATTTTGTGATTATTACTATTAATTTAGAATAAATCCATATATTAAGAATTCGAGAAATGAAGTGAATATGAATATAACTCAATTGGTCAAGACATATTTTTTAATAGGGATAAGTTTAATTCTCACACCTACGTGTGTTACGTATTATTGTCTTGGAAAAAAAAAATATAATGGGTGGAAAACATTGAAATCATGTGACATCCTAAGTTGAGATTATTTAGCTTGTGAACGGTTGTGTCGGGTAGTTCAAATTTTACGAGCATAGCATAAATGTAATATATAGTACAATGCAAGCTTATTTTTAGAGATATAAAAAAGGACGTAGATATTTCTATTAATTACAAATTTGCCACTCAACTGAAATTCACATGCGCGAACTTGTGCGCTTTTGGCTTTCTTGCTTCCTTGTCTTGAAATCTTTATAGTTTTCTGATATTTTTCGAATGAAACTCAACAAATTATCATGCCATGTCCTTTTGTTGTCACTCTTAAGTAAAAGCAAAAATTCAAATAAAACTCCTTTGAAGCCACAGGTTCTTATTATATATTAAATATTAAATTTAATAAATGGGTAAACTAACAATAGTCACACTTATGGTCTCCCCTAAATGAAAAAAAAAAAAAAAGAAAAAGAAAACAAGATTGAGACTGTGTTCATAATTTACCAAACTTCTTATTTCATCGTTGCAAGATATGTAACAAATTCATAAACTTATTACAAACTTTCACGTACACATCATTAAGAAGAAGATTACACAAACACATGATTAAATTATTTTCAAACCAGAAATCTTGGTCCTCCATTTTTGAACCACTTCCGAGAGTGTTGTTGAAGAAGATCCATCTTCTCCAAGAACCCTTTTCGCTGCAATTTTCAGCTCCGCCATTTTCGCCTTCACTCTCTTCCCCTCTTCGCCTTCAAACAACTCCTTCACCACTTTCGCAATCTCCTCCTTCTCCACAATCCCACTTTCCTCGTTCATCTTCGGCCTCAGCGCCGCCTTAATCTCCTCTGTTAGCATTATGGCGTTCATTTTCTGCTCCGCGTACAGCGGCCAAGCAATCAGAGGAACCCCATTAACCACGCTCTCCAGAGTCGAATTCCACCCGCAGTGGCTCAGAAATCCGCCGGTGGAACCGCGGCTCAGAATCTCCGCCTGCGGAGCCCACGACGCCACCACAAAACCCCTTCCTCTGTTTCTTTCCACAAAACCCTCCGGCAAGAAACTCAATGGGTCGTTCTCGCTGTGGACGCTGAAAAACGAAGCGTCGGCTTCCTTATCGCTCGGATTTCGAACAACCCAGATGAATCTCTGCCCACTATTTTCCAATCCCAGTGCCAATTC